GAACTTTATTTTACTATTGTACATAAAACTTCTAAATCTTAAATAAAGACTAACACGTGTAACAACTGCTTGTAGCATGTTTGCAGGGTATATAAAATGTAAAATAGAATGTTCATGCACTTTGTTAGAAGTGCTGGGATTTCGTTGCGACACATGAGCCGAGAGGCGCGCTAAAATGTGGGAGTGCCCGGAGGGCAGCTTTAGTTTAGCCCAACACTACATGCACATAGATGTACATAGATAAAGATGTGTGTGTGCGCGCACCCATGCAATTTGTTCACTTCTGTATCGTTTTTTTTTGCGCTTTTCTACGCGCTTCTCACAGCGCCCAGGGCAGGGGTCCGCTTTGGCATGCAAATTTGTTTGCATGAAAATGAAGGCAGTTGCGCGAGCAGAGCAGACCACAGCACCCCGCACCTTGCCCGACCAGCTCACACACACACACACACACTCATATCTTTATCTACACACACATGTAAGCACACATGGGACATTGGGGCGTATGCGTTTCATTTCGCATATGCATAAAATATACCGCGTGGGGCTTTGGGTTTTCTTTTCTTGTTTTTTTTTTTTTCTTGAAGCGCCTCAAGGCGCAGTCACAGGCATTGCTCGTTACACACACACACACCCGGACACACACAGGGTGACTCGGTTTGGATTTTGGCAGCAATAAACGCAAAACTTAATAACAGTTCAATGCAGATTACTGGGCAAATCCTTGTGGGCATGCGATGAGCGAAGCAATTGTCACAATGTTTGCCTTCTTCTTATGCAAATTTCTTTCCCAGCTCTCTCTCTCTCTCTCTCTCTCTTGCTGAAGTACTTGTGGCTGTCACATCCTTTGCATATTTATGTGTATCTATGCGGGTGTGTGTTTGTGTAATTGTGTGAGTGTGTGCGTGCGTGTGGTTACTGTCAGGCAGCAACAACATTTTGATTGGCATTTGCATAAGCAGTTCAATGCAATTGCATGCGGTTTGGGCTGCCTTTCAGCATACTTTTTCAGCGCTTTGGTTGAGACCAAGCCCCAAGCCCCGAAGTGGGGGGTCAAGCATATGTGCAGCTGTGTTTGCCTAGCTATATGTGCATATATATATATATGTATATATATAGATGTATGCACAGAATATGGCTATATTCAGGCACATGCTGCCGTTTATATAGCTATTGCCGTTTATGAATGTGGCCGCTATCCTGGCGAGGTCATTCGATTTGCTCATGCATGAAAATATTCGCATTGCACTCATAAAAGCGGAAATTGAAAATATATAAATCTTACACAAACACACACACAAACACGCGCGCACGCACACACATTCAGCTGGCAATAGGATATTGCATTTTGAGCGGCTGCCAGTTGCAGGACATCAAAGTGCGGCCATTGTAGCATACTGCCTGCAAAAAGTATGCATCTCTGCTTTTATATGCTTCTAATTATTCGCCTGATAGAGTTGAGCATGATTAAATATGATAATCATCATACTCAAGGATGCTTATATTGCAATAAATAATTAGTTTTAAACGCATAATTGATTTCCTCATATTGTGAGCTTAATTAATTGTCTAGCAAAATACGTTTTCGAGAACAATTATCAAATATAATTTGTGTTCGGATAAGGTATTTGCCCTTGAAATTATTTGAATTTGATTATAAGTGAACAAAGATTTACATGTGTATATAGAGATTAAGGTAGGTATAAGAATAAATAAATGCATATAAAAATATTAGAGCATAACTTTCACTTGCTTATCTATATCAAACATTCCTTTCAAGGGCTGACAGAATAGTGTAACACGGACTTTGCCTTTAGCATATTTGAATTAAAATGTCATATTTCTTTTTAAAAATATTCGTGCTCACACTCCTATCATATTATACATATTATATCGGTTCTTCTTTGGGCTAAATGTTTTACTGACATGACATTCTTAAATAGGATTGGTTTTTTACATATGTATGAATGAGGTGATTATTATATTTCATTTCACAGAAAGGAATGTAAAATCGGATTTATTTTTTACTTATTCTATTGAGAGGCTTTTTTAGTTTTTAATAAAAATATTCGCACTGCCTCATTATCAAGTGCTTGCTCTCTCGAGAGAGTATTAATTTTCTAATTCCGCTTTGTGTGACATTCGTAAATGTTTTACTATTTACTATTATTAGCGGAAAGCAAACAGAAACAAAAGAAGATCATATTATCTATTCTATATATAAGAAGTAATTATGTGAATATGTAAGAATTGCTATATGAATCATGTCAAAAAGCTGCTTGGCTGTTGACTTATCCTCGAAGATAAGATTAAGGAACATAAAAAGGAATTGAAGAGCAAATTTATGCTCAATTTAATGTACTAAACGGCAAACTCTGCAGAACCAAGTGCGTACGCAATCTATTTGAGTGATAAGAGGGAGATGGTGAAAAGGCCAAGCTAGGCAAAAGAAGACTTAGATAGCATTAAGCATATACACGGACATAAATCCCCGAGTGTTCAGCTAAATGTGCCCGAAAGTGATGAACATGAACAAGCGGCAAGCAGAGAGTTTTCCCCATTTTCCGTTTTCGCTGTAATAAATCTGTGCATGCAATGAAATGTAACACGAGATATTGAATTCGATGCTGTATAAAGGCGATGGGGCACGGGCCACGGGGCATGGTGCACGGTGTCGGGGTTAGGCCAAACCAGGCCACTGTTTGGTGTGTAATAAGGAAAAGTGGCAGCAAATGCGGAAGAATAATGCGACAGCACGAACAACAGACGGCCTGCCAGGCAGCTGGGTGGCGGTGAGGAGGGCTGCCACAGATGCCGAGGGGCGGCTGCATTACAATGGCAAAAAATGTAGGCTGGCAGAGAAACAGAGCTAGAAAGAGAGAGAGAGAGAGAGCGAGAGAGATAAATGTACTGAGAGGGTGGCGAGCGCAGGACAAGAGGACATACATACAATTGAGACAATGCAACGCCCGCAACACGGAACAAGAACAATTGCAATGCGGCAACTAATATTTTATGCGTAAGAGCAACACAGATATGGCCACAACAGCGAGGGTCGCTCAAAAAGTTCTAAAAATATTGGAAGTGGAAAACCGAACATACAAAAAATATTAAAAGCGAGGCTCATGAATGAAGTCAAGTAAAGCGCTAAGAGATGTAGAAAGAAGAAATGTTATAGGGTGTGATCTGATCAGAGTCTTTAGTTAGCTAAAGTTACCTGCCAGGGCTGCCATACTAATCAAGCTATTAATGACTATGAAAAATAATAATAGGACTTTGACGGATATCAATTATTATATGATAAAATACATATTTAGAGTTTTTTACAGCTAAATATGACAAGCGTGTAAGAAAATATAATTCTACAGAGTTACCACAATTCTAAAGTATTCCTTGTATTCCTAGAGTTACCCAAATAGGCTAGGCGCATTCTACAGGTTTTCCACAAGTATGAATGAACAGTCCCCAGAGAAAAATAACGTTACAAGTCTATCACAGCATGAAATGATAAATGATAAGACGACAAGAAAAAACTAGTTCCTGTTTGAACATAAAAAAGCGTTCCTAGAGGAAATTAATTTGATTTTCCAAAAGGACTTCAGTTTGAAGTCACAGAAATTTAGTTTTATATTGTACAGAGTTGCCACAGTTTAAGAAACTGAGTGCCCAGCTGCAATTAATTTAATTAAGCAAAAGTAACACACACTAAAAATAAAATTCAAATTCAATTCAAAGTTATAAAAGAATCTAACTTAGTAAAGTGATATGAAATGGAACGGCAAGAGAGACAGAGAGGGAAGATCTTGTGATCGACAATCGATAGGTTTTATGTCGTATCTGAAACTTATATTGCTTCTGAAAAACCTCACCAACACGAGCACAAGACACGCACAAGCCTCGTTTAAATAGTTTCACACAGACACTGAGCCAGTGTAAAATACCGCAAATGGATGTGTCAGGGTATTTAAGCAACGTCACGAGCTAGTTGCTTGGTTTTTCCTTCGTCTTCTTCTTCTACTTCAGCTTCTTCTTGATGCTGTTACAGTTTTTTCTTAACATGCTTGTGCAATTTTCCATTAAGGGAATTAGTTGCATAACAACAAAAACAACAAAATGAAGTAGACCAAAGACAGCGACCAAATGGCACAGCACGAACGTACATAGACTTATAAGTAAGACTGTTAGTAAGTATATGCACAAGGAGTATGTGCTGATTTATAGAAGGTGACAGATGTGGACACCGAATGATAACAAGCTTTGCCCAAGCTGCTTCTTCTATTCTTCTTCTATCTGCTCATTCCCATCTGTCCCAGTCCCCGGACGCAAAATATAGCGAAAATTTCTATCAAATGTTGGGTTCTGGAAAAATGGCGTTCTGTTTGTTGTTGCCGGAGATTTTCTCGACGCCTTTTCCCGTCGAGCATTGCAATTGCCCCGTCTGTCGGCTGCTGTTGTAACAGCTGCAACTGATGTGCATGAAAAGTGGTTTTCGGAGCGCACAAAATGCTTCGAAAATGGTGGCAACGCCAACATCCCCGCTTCCAAAAAAAATGAGAAGGGCATGGAAAATTCGTCGCTGCGCTATAAATTAAAGTGTTGTCAGCGTCTCCATACCACATGTGGCATGTGGGCAAAAGTTCACACTAAATTTATTATATACATATACTTACATATATTTTTTAAGAAAGCAAAAATAATACTGACGCGACTTAAAGTTTGGCCAAATGCACATACATTTTCTGGAATAAAGCATGTTAAAGGCATATATATTTTAAGAAATCAAGTAAGGAGTGCATATTTTTAAATAATTGTTAATATCCTTTGATTCTGACTATCGGACTACTTTAGCTGCGGAAATATCATAAATAATAAATGATGTAAAATATAAATGATCGTAATGCTCAGTATAATAATAAATATTGGTAGCCAATTGTTGATTTTGCAACGTGAATTTGTTAGAGACAAGTTAACGATATCATAACATAGAAGAAAAATGTGCTTACCAAGGTATTTATTTGTTGTCACTCTCTGTTCCTTTTTATTCGAATCTGAAATCTGAAATAAGCAGATTTGGGTTATTTCAATTCATGTGATATATGTCAGCTAAAAGTATTTAAATTTTCGACAAGGGCAAGTGTTTCTTTCTTTCAAATAAACATTCGAAGCTCTTGTCAGATCCAAAGTTTATTTTCCTAACCTCCATTTTTTTTATTTCACAAAGTTAAAGCTTTTAAGATGAAATAAATTTTGTAACCAAGTGAAGTTTTAATTGTATTATTGTTTTCAAAACTAAGCTCGTAACGATTTGTGCGCATATTTTCCAATCAATTTGACGGGCTGAAGAAAGTATTGCAAAATTACATTGGCAAAGTTTTCGCAGCATGCCAAAGGCAGCAAACAAACAAAATGCAACTGTTGTGTGAAAATGAAAACTAACAAAAGGGCAAAGCAAAAACAACAACAACAACAAGGACTGTGGAAAAAGTTTTTTCTCAAAAGCATTTGGTGGAAATTCAACAATTTCAATTATATTAATTGCCTTTCCAAAACACGTTGCAAAAAAAGGTATGTAGATGCAACAAGCGAGAAACACTGCAAACAAAATACAAAATAAATGCAAATTTTACGTTTTTCAGTTTTTTAACTCTTTAACTTCAATGTTCATGTTAAAATACACAAAGAAAAAATGAAATTAGCTCAATTAAATTTCGATGCGACCTAATGAGCCCGATAGCGCATTACGAACGCCTTTTGGTGAGAGCTTTTTTCTTTCATTTTGTTGTTCTTGTTGTTGTACGCCATTAATGTGGGGGCAATGGCATGGGGCATGCCACACCAATAATAGCAAAAAGGCAAAATGGAAGCGAAACGAAACGAAACGTAACGAAAAAGCAAATGAAAGCGTAGCCCGCAAAAATTGCCAACGTTGCAGTTCAGGTCTTTCTTTTTGGAGCCAAGCCCAGAGCCCGGCCCCACACCGGCCATGGCCACGGCCCAGACCCGGACACGGATTCGGTTTTGTATCCCGGGCAGCCATGTTGATTTCATTTCATTTAGCAGCGAGTCGAAAATTTGCAGTTGTCGTTTTTGCTGTTGTTGCTGTTATATGTGAAATTTTCATTTTGTCTTTGTCCCTTTGTGTCTGTCTCTGTGTGTGTGTGTATGTGTGTGTGTGTCTGTGCTCTGTTGCCTGGCCACGCCAACGCGAAAACATTTCGCGCGATGGCTGCCATCGCGTTGGCGTTTTCCAATGGCGTCTGGCTGGCTATTAGTATAACAACCCAACAACAATGGCTGGCGAAAGAAGAAGCAGCAGTTAAAAAACAAAGCACACAAGTGCCTCTTAAATATACCCTATAAATACAAAAAATACTCATATATAGAATCAAAAACTAGTTCATTTTACATTCAATTGTAGTCACTCACATGGTAAACTTAACATAAAGTTAACTTTTATTTATATTTTATATCCCATGCCAATGAGAAGTTGCTCGACCAGCCAATACAAATCAATAACTAACCAAAGATACTTAGTTTAGCTCAACATGCCTATTATCATCTATTAAATATTAAATTTACATGTTACATTTAACATGCGAAATAAAACATAGCTACAAAGCATGTTAAAGTGGTTGCTTGCTTTTACTTTAACTTTGCATTTTTCCAGGCCTTGCAACATAAAAGAAGCCCTCAAGGACTTAACAAAAATAAACCTAGATACTCATGCTCATGACAAACTTCATGTTAAAGTTATAATGTCCTTATCAATAAAAGCGCAACGTAGCACGTAGTAGGCACGTTGCCAACGTGTTGGAGGGGTTGGCCTATACCTGGTCAAAAGGTGGATAGATAGATGGATGTCGTACGCTTGGGAAAACGTGCAGTGAACTGTAGGCAAGACAACAAACAGCAGTTGGCCAAGTTTCGATGCTGTTGTTGTTGTTGTTGCTGTTCCTTAACGACAAATCGAAAATAACAACAGGCCAACAGGCAAACATCAAATATGGCGACGGCACTCAACAGCGCCACACACAAGGGAGAGCTCCGGTTGCGGGTCCGGGCTCCGGTCTCCAGCTACGGCAACGACAACGACCCCGTCTCCGTCTCCGCCACCGTTGCCGGCTCCCCAAACGCATAAAGTGCCCAAAACAGCAGCAGCAACAGCAGCACTCAGAGGACTCACAAGCTCCCAAACTCTGATGTTTGGTAGCAAAAGACCGGCAAAAAGCAGCAACCGGTAAAATCGAATGTTCACTTTGCACACACACACACACACACACACATACATACACACACACAGAGGCGTGTATTCTCTCTTTGGCAGATTGACTCCCACGCTTTTGCACACACACATACGTGCAGAATGTTTGAAATTTTGCACACATTTACAATAATTGTAAATGTGTTGAAAATCGTTTGCACAACTGTGAGCAACCGAACAGACATGTGTGGGTGACAGTGTGTGTGTATGTGTGTATCTCAGTGCTTGCTCATTTGTTAAGGGGAAATGTGCTTTGTCTGTCTCCGTCCGTATATTTGTGTGTGTTAGTGTGTGCGTGGGTCCTGGTGCTGAGCGCAGCCATGTTTTTTTTCAGCGAGCTACAAGGCGCAAGCGCCATCGCGTACACTCAACAAAATTGAGTAGTAAGACATGTAAAAATATGGTGAACATGCAACATGTGATCTGTCTAATAATATACAAATAGCTGTTTTAAGAAACCCAGCTAAAATTATCATTATCATTATCATTATCATTATCATTATCATTATCATTATCATTATCATTATCATTATCATTATCATTATCATTATCATTATCATTATCATTATCATTATCATTATCATTATCATTATCATTATCATTATCATTATCATTATCATTATCATTATCATTATCATTATCATTATCATTATCATCATTATCTTTATCGTTATCATTGTCATTGCCATTGTCATTGTCATTGTCATTGTCATTGTCATTGTCATTGTCATTGTCATTGTCATTGTCATTGTCATTGTCATTGTCATTGTCATTGTCATTGTCATTGTCATTGTCATTGTCATTGTCATTGTCATTGTCATTGTCATTGTCATTGTCATTGTCATTGTCATTGTCATTGTCATTGTCATTGTCATTGTCATTGTCATTGTCATTGTCATTGTCATTGTCATTGTCATTGTCATTGTCATTCATTGTCATTGTCATTGTCATTGTCACTGTCACTGTCATTGTCATTGTCATTGTCATTGTCATTGTCATTGTCATTGTCATTGTCATTGTCATTGTCATTGTCATTTTCATTTTCATTATCATTGTCATTGTCATTGTCATTGTCATTGTCATTGTCATTGTCATTGTCATTGTCATTGTCATTGTCATTGTCATTGTCATTGTCATTGTCATTGTCATTGTCATTGTCATTGTCATTGTCATTGTCATTGTCATTGTCATTGTCATTGTCATTGTCATTGTCATTTGCATTGTCATCGTCATTGTCCTTATCAGTATCATTATCAGTATTATTATCATTTTCAATATTATTACTATTATTATTATTTATTACTATTATTTTTATTTATTATTACTATTAATACTTTTATTATTATCATTATCATTATCGATATACATCGATAGCTTGACACAAGCCTGGGATCCAAGACCACATATCCTCGATGCTCAGTTGACCAACTCATCTTATAACTAATTTTTCGTCATTTTATAGTTAAAGTCTTACCGACTGTTATTCACCAAGTTTAATCTTTTTTTCGCCCCCAATTTAAATGGAGAACCAATCGAAATATTAAAAGGCCACGAGTGCATACTATGCCATGCTGCACCCGATTAATGCTAAGTGCTGCAGTGCCTTTATGCATTTCAAATGCAGTCATTACTGCTAACCGCATTAGTGAGCCGAACTTTCTTCCACACACACATTGCCGCCTCTTACTCTACAGAGCTGCATGTAACACGTACTAAAGTCAGGGCAGGTTGCAAACAAGCATGACAAACAAAATCCAAGCATGAAGCCACTTGAGATTCGCTGCCAGGGAGCTCAAGGGAGTTCTGCAGCACTGAGGAGCTGCTGGCCTTGTGGCTGCCACCTGGCAACGCATCTGTGCAACGAACAGTGCTTGGCAACGGCTTTTATAGTCGGGCCACAAGCTCTTTAGCGTTGGCTTTTGGCTGCGCACAACATGGCGTATAAGCAACGGAGACGAACACGAATAGATATGACACACACACACTTGAACAAATGCGTGGCGCTCTCCCAGATATTGCCATAGCAACCTTGACTACCTGTGCTCATGCCCCGCTAGCTTAACCTCGTACTGACAATGGCGAGGGCAGCTGCCACGTCAACGGCGTCGCTGGCGGTCGGCAGCTGCCACCTTGAGTCCATGCCCCTAACCGCCGCAGCTACATGTTGCGGCCATTTTTCGTTTTGCCTGACTGAAGCCGGCTTCGGCTTTCGGCATTGGGCATTCGGCTTCGGCTGCCTTTGTACAGTTTTCTGGCGCAGACTTTTGGTTTTAATGGATCGATGACTCTTTGCAGCAACATCAGGCCAGGCTTCAGCCTGTGGCTCCTGCACCAACTTTTTTACCACAGCGGCCACATTTTCAGGCACTTTTTGGCACCCTTTCCCCTGAGTTTTCCCTCCCGACCATCAAAAAAAAAAAATAAACTTTTCCTGTGTGGCGAGCAAAGTTTTCCTTTTCTGGCATGTGCCATGTAAAAATGTTTTCATATGTGGTCGCTGCATGTACATAGATACATGACATCGCTATACATACATATACATATTTATGCCTACATGTATAAGGCTATGTGGCTGTGCACATACAAGTGTGGCCTTTGTATGTGCCTTTTACCGTGTGCCGATGGGCACAGGTGAGATGACAAGGCGTGTGCTGATTAGATTTTAGGCTTGGCTGAAACCAAGATGCGGCCAGGTAACGGTTTTTCGCCATCTAAGCTTGACGCATTTCTAGGTTAGCTGGTTATCCCTTTTGGAGCTTAAAGTGCTAATACAAGAAAACTTGAGATAGTCGGT